GTATTTTTATTGTAGGTTGTCATTGTACACAATACTAGATGTACGTACCGATAGAGCACGTGAACGTGAAACTAAAAGTTGGGATTCGCTAGAGTGTCGTCCTAGCGCCTATTTTTGAATTACGAGCGCTTGTTTAAGGGTCTCTACATCTCTCTCTTTTACACGCACACACTACACATTAGACATCGACAATTCACAGTAAATTAAATGAGTGTCATTTGAAATGGCAGTGCAGCAATGTGTTGGGATTTTGAATAAAGAGGTCTACAAAATAATAAAATGCACTCACCTGATTTCAGTATTCTTAAAACTGAAGTCCTTCTCGTAATCGCTCGTGAACTAGTAGAAGGGTCTCTTTCTACTTTTTCAATGATTAGATCTCTTCTTTCTGGATCCACTCTGGGTAGTCCCTCGCGACGTTGATTACGCCCAGGAACGCGTCCAGCCATCAGGGTTTCGTGGGTGTTATTAAAAACCCTGTAGCCCGGGTAATGCTCTAACACTTCTCCTCGCCGCTCCAGTTGCTCTCGATAAAGCCGTGCCGCTAATGCGCCGTTTCCTTGGCCAACGCCGTAGAAATAGTGCATCTCTGCGTATTGACTGAGAGAATAACTCATTGCTGAAAGTAATCCAAATCACTAAGTAACTCAAGGTCCATAAAACAAGCACAGGTCAATCGTAAGGCAAATCAAGAATCCGGGAAACAAAGTGAAGGTAGTCAAATAAGAGATCCAAATAAACGTAAACGTGAGTAGTGGTTGCACGCGGGAAAGCAGTGAACGACTGGCGGGACTGAGCGAGGTGAAAAAGGGACGCGGTCGGTGTGGCGCGGTGCGCGGGGTGCGGCCTGGTAACAAAATGGAGCGCAAAGCAGGAATGTTTACCTGAGCCTTTGTTTAAAATTCCTTTGTGTGTTTGTGACTGAATGTGCTATCATTTAGTTTGAGTGAAATAAAAAAATAACATGTAGTTTGTAGTAAAATGATACCTTAATAAATGTCACGTTTTAACAATAAGTAGTTTTCTTTGCTAACCTGAAGCACTTACTATCTTAGTTTAGCCCTAGAAATGATAAAAAGATTTTTTAAATCAAATTAACTATTCAGGTAGTTTCCTGCCTGAGTAACTTCAGAAGTCTGTAACAGAAAAAGTGGCCTATTAAGTGTCATTTTTTTAATGTTATTATGAAAGATTAAGGTACTGGCAAGTTTTTAAAAGTAATTAGAAAGTATGAAATCATTTATTACTATTTTTCATTTAATGTTGAAAATTCAAGCCACACTCTCCTGACAGAAATTTTTTAAGTTTAGATTAAAATTATTTTATCTTCGGTGAATGTTAGGAAGCTAATTATTTTATGCATAATAGGGCAACTCATAAGGATCATGCTACAAACAAAAAAAACTTGGAAAAAATCTCACAATTACATTTTTTTAATGTTAGGCTCTTTAGGGTGAACATTTTCAAAAAAAAAGGATAAAAAAAATCATAACTCGAAAACTACAAAAAATCGCGGAACATACATAGGGTATTTTCGGATACCCCTAGGTGTGCGGAATCAAAAAAATATATTATAACCTCACTGTTTGGACCACATTGTATAAATAGCTGTTCCCCGCGACTTCGCCCGCGCGTAATTTATTACGATTGGATTTTATGGGTTTAAATTTTTTGCGCGGAATCCTAATTCTTTTTCTAAATTAAAATAGCCTAAATTACTTCCTATAACATCAGCTATATGCCAGTGAAATTCCCGTCAAAAACGGTTCAGCTATTTCGGAGATTAGCCGGAACAAACAGGCAGACAAAAATTTAAAAAATTGTACCTTTGTTATAAATATCGTATATAATATCTTATGCGTTTAGTAAAAAGCTGTTATTTTGACATTAAAAACAGACACTTCTATTTTATTTATTTGTATAGATTTTTAAATTATTAACCCCCGGAGAAACTGTCTGCTCCTTAAGTGAGAATTTTTTATTATATATAATAAATTTAACGGTGGTAGAGCCACGCAGCGGCTTTTGCTGTTGCACGTATGGGTCGGCTCGACCGGGGAAGGACCACGCTCTCATAGAATGCCAGCGTCAAATAGCAGCTTAACACTGCTGTGTTTCGTATGGTGAGTGTAGAGAACCGGAGACCCTTTTTACTGGAAAAGAGGCATTCCATCTTAGTCCTCACGGGTGACAACGCATCTGCATTTTGATTCGCGGGCGAGGATAGATGGAAATGTCTATGGGCCACAATAACCACTTACCATCAGGTGGACTGTCTGCTCGTTTGTCACCCAATATTATAAAAAAAAAACCTCATGCGGTACCTTGAGGATCACCAGCTGATCAGTGACCGCCAATACGGTTTTCGTCGGGGTCGATCAGCTGGTGATCTTCTGGTCTACTTGACTCATAGATGGGCGGAGGCAGTAGAGTCCAAGGGGGAGGCATTGGCCGTTAGTTTGGACATTGCGAAGGCCTTCGATCGGGTTTGGTACAAATCGCTTCTTTCGTAGCTCCCTTTCTATGGGCTTCCCGAGAAATTGTGCAATTGGATCACCAGCTTTCTTGCAGATCGGAGCATCAAGGTCGTTGTAGACGGTGCATGCTCCGACTACAAGTCTATTAACGCTGGTGTTCCACAAGGCTGCGTGCTATCACCAACGCTGTTTCTTCTGCATATCAATGATATGTTGCAAACCGGTAGCATTCATTGCTATGCGGATGACAGCACTGATGATGCTCTATACACCGGCCGTGCCAATATTTCTCGGGAAAACGTCGCCGAGTACCGGAACAAACTTGTATCTGTAGTCGAGTCTTTGCTGGACAAAGTCTGGGATTGGGGGCGACTAAATCTAGTCCAGTTTAATCCTCAGAAGACACAAGTTTGCGCGTTTACCGCTAAAATGAACCCCTTTTGTCATATCTCCTCAGTTTCAAGGTACTCCCCTTGTTGCCTCAGCCAGTATCGGAATCCTCGGCGTCGACATATCGAGTGACGTGCAGTTTCATGGTCACTTGGAAGAGAAGGCCAAATTGGCATATAAAAAGCTTGGCGTGCTCAGCAGAGCGGGACAGTATTTCATGCCGGCACAACGCCTGCAACTTTATAAGGCGCAGGTTCGGCCTCACATGGAATACTGTTCTTTGAATACTTGTCCGCATCCAGCGCAGAGCGGGTCGAATCGTCGACGACCGAGTCCTTTCCGATCGGCTCGACTCATTGGCGCTGCGAAGAGATGTTGCATCTCTTTGCATTTTCTTTCGCATTTACCACGGGGAGTGCTCTGAGGAATTGTTCGGATTAATCCCAGCCGCCAAATTTCACGAACGCACATCGCGGCAGAACTCCCGATACCATCCACACCATCTGGATGATTGGCGGTCCACCACTGTGCGATTTACAAGATGTTTTCTTCCTCGCACAACTTCCTTGTGGAATAGTTTACCACCAGCGATTTTTCCGGACCGATACGACTTAGGGACCTTCAAGAAAAGAGCCTACTCCTTTTTAAAAGGCCGGCAACGCATCTGCAATTCCCCTGGTGTTGCGGTTGTTCATGGCGGCGGTAGTCACTTACCATCAGGTGAGCCGCATGCTCGTTTGCCCCCTCTCCTATAAAAAAAAATAAACACGCTGTAAAAGTGGCAGATTAAATCAAACGCTTATTTTGGAATTTTTGAAAATACAACTTTGGGGTAGACTACCCCAAAGTTGTATTTTAGCGCAGTACCAGGCGTACCCAGGTAGGCCCGGCAAACAGTCATATACCTGCTTATTGAGTGGACTGATACTTTTCAACAAAGTTTCATGATGCATCAAACACTTCATGAAAAATGCGTCATGAGCTCTTGGACCACCTCACTTGAGAGCAATGGCGGACTAAGCCCGTCGGAGGACCGGGGCGGCAAACCTTAGTTTAAGAAGGCGATCTAATTTTACAAGCTTTCTAATTCGATTTTAATATAATAGTAAAATTCATTATGGATAAAAAAAACAAAGGAAAATTATAACATAGACATTGACTGTATCAGTTTTAGAAGAGAGATTAAAACTTTTAGCAGATCTATTATATTAGAATTACTTTTCGTAATAAATACGTTGAGCATAGGGCTAGTAATTATCACGACAAGAGTACAAAAAACATCTAGTACCACGTATTTTAATGAGATATTATCTGAAGACGAATGTGGTAATAAAGAAATTAAAATTTAAAATTAAAAGAAAGTTGAAAGCGCGGTTGCTGGATAATTGTACGTGTAATTATAGTTAATATCTAAATTAAAAATAATACTTACAGTGTAATTGTTAATAAGTTTAAAGATAATGAAGTATGTAAATATTACTGAACTTATGTTTCTATTTTAATTTAAAATCCAAGATTATATATAGATATAAGTGGGTGATGTATTCGCCAACAAACCTGCAGTTTGGCGAAAGTAGTTTAAGAAACAATCTATTGAATTTTTATATAATGTAATATGTATAAAAAAGGATTACTGTAGATTATTGGAAATTTTAATTGATAAAAAGTAGACATAGGTGCTTTGTAATATATAGGCATAAGAATCTACACCATATCATTCCGTGGGTGTCGTAAGAGGCGACTGAGGGAAATATAACTGGAGATGGACAGCAGCATCTTGCTGATAACAAAAATAATAATAATACAAAAAGGTTCGGTTGCCAATTCGCCTACCAAGCGTGTAACCTTCGGAAATATCTCCCCAATCTATGGGAAATCTATGGAAAGCCTGCGTTCAGCGTCCGACTCTTGATAGACTATTGAATGAAAGATAAATAAAACTTCAAATTATATTATCCCATCTTTTTAAGTACCTAAGTACCTAATTTTCTTTGTCAATGCTTTTGTGACTTGTGAAGTGTAAGATATTTGTGGCGTTGACTATATAAATTTAGGTGTAATTCCAGACGTGGACTTAAGGCTGTTGAAGAAGATTTTTATATTGCAACACTAAACTAATAGTATTTTTTTTAGATCGGAATTGCCATTTCACACGCCTTATGGAGCTGCGCGAGCACGTTCAGTATCTTTGTTTTGGCTCGCTTCATTGGCGGACTGAGTAAAGCAAACGTCAGTTTAAGTATGGCGATTGTGACGGATGCATCTGACGAAAAGACTAGAGCGAGGGGAATGGTAAGATTGTGTCCATTAGGACATCATTTTTATAACTGAAATGACAAACGAACTTACAGTCCACACAGGATTGCCAGATGGTCGGGATTCGTCTGGATTCTTCCGACATTTTAAATTATTTCCAGACTCCCAATAAAACTCAAAATCTCCGGGCTTCTCTTCACATCGGAGCTGCCTTTGATTTAATAAAAGCAGAGTTAGTATTTAGACTGAACTTTGAAGTAAATTTTTAAATAAAACTAATTTTACGGATTTTATCGCGTATATTAACTTATTTTTATATTCCCGACGTTTCGGGTGCTTTCCAGCACTGAAACGTCGGGAATATAAAAATAAGTTAATATACGCGATAAAATCCGTAAAATTAGTTTTATTTAAAAATGTGTAGGCTTCGCGTAAATATAAGAAATCATTTTGAAGTAAATTGTTTGAATTTTAAATCTTTTCCGGATACTACTACAGATCCAATTTTTTTTTCCTTTTTTGTGGCGGTTTGGTAAAATTCTCCAATGACGTATGATGGACTCAGTAAAGTCCAATGCCAATTACATGTGACAACCTAAAAATTAAGTGTACTTACGTAACTTACGTGTCAAAAATGTTATGTCTTTTTCTAGCCTATTAATTTCTATTTTACAATTTTATTTATAAGTAATATTTATTTCTTCCGACAACAACCCCAAAATCCCGACATTTTCAAATTTTGCCCAGATATTTTGGTCTTCCGATCTGGGTTTCCTGACTCTACTCCCACCTGATGGTAAGAGGCTACTGCAGCCCATGGACACCTGCAACCAACTTCAAACAAATAGTACAGATGCGTTGTCACCTCTGAGGACTGAGATGGAATGCACTCATCCTGCAATCATACTGGCACTGCTATATGTCGGCAGATATAGGTAAGAGGACGATAGCGCACCCAGACTATAATTTTCTTGGCAGAAATGGAGTCCTTCTGCATAGTAAAACTGTTTGGTTACTCGCAATAAATGTACTTACACATTACATTAAGTGATAATTTTCAGGCACTTATAGGATTAGCATTTTCAATTGGATTCATAGTGGGTCCAATGGCTGGTGCATGGTTCGCGAAAACAAACGACGTTTACTTTGGAATGTGGGGCCAGAGGCCGGCGTTATACGCACTATTTCTTTCTCTCGCCAACATTGTTCTCGTTATTTTTTTTATACCAGAAACACTTTCTAAGGTTTGCTTTATTTTATTTTTTTTGCATTAATATATCTTCAAATATCAACCTGTTTTACATTAAACCATTCATAAATTCTTTCTCTTTCAGGATAAAAGAGCACCACTTTCGATGTCTCTTTCTAAAGCGGTCGAATTTGTTTCTCCCTTGCACCTTTTAAAATTTACTGCTGTCGAAAACCTGTCACTGCATCAGAACAAAGTATTATCTAAATTAGGACTGATTTACTTCATATATTTATTCATATATTCTGGACTCGAATTTACTATAACATTTCTTACGCATCATACCTTCTCCTACACTGCGATGCAGCAAGGGAAAATGTTTTTAGTCATAGGTAAGATTTACAATTTTTATTCTCAGATTTTATAACCAAAAAAAGAAAGAAATTAATTGCAAAGACAATACTGACAGACGCACTGATTGGCTCTCCGGTCGCATTCGTGCAATTCAATTCGTGCGCGACAGTATCCATGCGCAGCTATCCCCTCCACGTTTCGTACAGCGCTAGACTTACGTGTCGCGACTTATAATAGCCAGCATTATTGACGGCTCCGTGGCGCAGTGGTTTAGTAATGAGTTACAGCGCTGAGGGCCACGGGTTCGAATCCCGCACGGAACAAGTATTTGTATGGTCTACAAATAATTGTTACAGGAGAAAATCATAGTATAACGTTAAATAAAAACAATTATATTATGTATGTTCAAACTGCTAAGAATATACCTGTCACAAACCTATAATTTTGTAAGAGCTGCTGAGTTGGAAAGAAGCGGACAGTGGCACACATGCGGGTTTCCCTCACATTGTTTCTTCTTTAGACAAGCATACAACACAATCGGTAGTCGGAATTTTAATTGCCGTGGTGCTTACGAAAATCGAACTGGATTTGTCACGTATAATGAACAAGTGATAAAAGAAAATTAAAAATTTGTACAACCGACTTCATCATAAATAAGATGAAAACATCATTAATGTAGTCGAAGTCAATTAAATACGCAATTATTAAGAATAACTCAAAAACTAAGTACTTGTCAGAATTAATCAAATTTATATGGGACCACATGAGAAGCACCAGCTTTCAAATAAAAAAATCATCAAAACAGGTTCTAAAGTAACACACACATAAAAAATACAGTCGAATTGAAATCCTCCTCCTTGTTTTGAAGTCGGTTGAAAATTAGGCCGACGCCCTTGTGCTACAACTACAACGGCTTACATCTATAAATTTGAATATTTTATTGAATTTAAAATTATGTAAATGACATTGAACTGGTTTATTCAGTTTTTATCACCTACCTTTTCGTAGCATACTAATATACCTAGTTTAGTGAATTAAATTACTTTGATACCTTACGTATTCATTAATACTTAAATCTTAAACTCATACAATTTTTCTACGATATTTTTAAGATGATACGGCTACGGCAACACAGCACTCATCCTAATTCCTGACCTACTCGTGCTCAATGTAAGATATACACGTATTATGCGATAAGATCGGGTTCAAGCTCGTCTGAATAGGCGAAGATACGGGGATAATTATTATGAACAAATGGATCTAAATAATAATAATTTATGTTTTGATTGGAGTGTGTTGAGATTCGAGTCCACGGCATAGTAGATAGGTAGGCAATGACTACAAGGTCGTCTCTTTCTAAAGCGTATTGAGATTTTGGTTATGCCACGTGCACAAAGCCGCCAGTATCGTTGACGACCAAGTTCTTTCCGATCGGCTTGGTCCATTAGCCTTGCGAAGAGACGTTAGGTACATCTTTGTGCATCTTCTATCACATAATATACCACGGGGAGTGCTCGAGGAATTGTTTAGGAATAATTGCAACAACTGAATTTCCATCCTCAATCCTAATTGATGGTTAGTGGTCCAACACACTATGGAATTTACTGTCGCTACCGTTTTTCCGAACCCATACAACTTAGGGACCTTTAAGAAAAGAGAATATAAATTATTAAGAATAACTCAAAAACTATTGGTCAGACCTTGATCAAATTTATATGGGACCATATGAGAAGCACCAGCTTTCAAATAAAAAAAGAATCATCGAAATCGGTTCATTTAGAAAAAAGTTATGAGGTAACAAAAATTAAAAAAGACATACAGTCGAACTGAGTATCATCTCCTTTTCGAAGTCGGTAGAAAAGAAGCAGTGATTAAGTATTTGGCTGCGGGGCAGCGTTTTCGAATCCTACACGGCACTAGTGTATAAACATTTGTTTGTACAATGCCAGTTGATATAATATTATGTATATAAAAAGCTTCCAAGATACAGGAGAAAATATTTGTTACGAAATAAGGGTGACAAACGGGCACACAGCCTACCTGACTGTAATAAATGGATGGCTTATAGTCATACATGTTAGGTATATTTAAAAACTTGCGTGAGTGTCGTGGAACACTCGGTTGGAACGAAGTTCCTTTCGTAGTCTAATGGCTCCAGTACACGTTGGCCGAGCGCGCTTGGCGAGCGCACTCGGCAGATTTTCGTGGTGCCGTTCACACTTTGGCGTGTTTCATTCTGCGTTGGTAGCTAGATGATGATGGACGTTAGGGCAATCGCGGCAGCTGTCATATACTTATACAGCGCTTCACTCTTCTCAGAGTGAACGAAAAAAAAACTACACATACAACAATAATCCCAGTTTGTCCTTTTTAGGGTTCCGACCTCAAAAGGAAAAAGAAACCTTTATAGGATCTACTAGCTGACCCGTGCCCGCTTCGCTGGGGGTTTTTTCAAAATAAATGATAGCCCAAAAGAAGCCCCTAAGCTACATTATCCCTGAGCAACATAAACGCAGAGATAATTTATAATAATATTTATCATTAGGTAGGTACTCTGAAATCGCAACTAAACATGTATTATTTAATGCAGTTAGGCAAGTTACTTACTCTGGTTTTATTTTTATGTTGCTAAATTTGGGGTTCCATATAACTGATTCATTGTGAGAATCAATCAATGAACAATGAATCAATATTTCACTCCATAATTATTAAATCGTAATGTGTTGGTATGCATATAAGTAACATTAAAAATATATTATATTGAATTATATATTTTTTCATAATACATAATATTTATATATATATATATATATATATATATATATATATATATACATGCGTATATGTGTGTGTGTGTGTATATTTGTATTGTATATGTATATTTATGTAAGTACACACTTTGACTACCTCTATTTCCTTCAACTATCCTTCAATAGGCCTGCTGGAAGAAATTTCATCATGGAATAGGCAGTGCCTTTGTACATAATTTTGTTTTTACCATTTTCCTATCGAATTATGTGTGTACATAAACTGTTAAATAAATAAATAAATATTTCCTCATTAGTCCATGTCGCCATGTTGAAACAATTTTATTAAGCCGACACTACAGTCTACTCCGACGCGTAACTATGAACTGAACACTCGGCCAACGTGTGAACACTGTTTGCGGCTTGTGCCAAATTACTTTGATTTGTGCACGGAAAACCGACACTATACGGCTCGTCGGCGAGCGTTGGCCGCAAACGCCAAATATATACAAAACGGCCCAGTACACGTTGGCCGAGCGCACTCGGCGAGCGCGCTCGGCCAACGTGTACTGGAGCCATAAGATGTTTTTAAAGTATAGATACGTCATACTCGCTCTAAAGTGGCAATACGAAAGTAAGGTAATTGCCCGACTCGCATTCAGTCGGGCACGCTCTCGCGTCGCGTCTATACCTTCGTTACAGCGCGTAAATTTTCTAGTTATTTGTGGTAAAAATGCCTTCCTGTGTTTTAAGGTGGTGCACAAATTACACGGCAACTGTTAGAGACAAGAAAAACGTTTCACTAATATTTTGAATATAGATGTTTTGTTCATAATTGGTTTTATTATTTTAACACGTAACCGCTAGTGTAAACTTTAACGCTAGCTAGTGTGTTCATTTCCATATCGGTATGTCACGCGCTCGCACCAATGAGCGCTTAGCAGCAATCAATACGCAACTATGTATATTTCTCTTTTTCTAACGATAGGTATGCCGTATCATTTGTCTCTTTGTCAGCGCAACGTGTCATAATAAATAACTGTATGTAGATATAGGGTGAATGCCCCTAATATCAGCCATGCCTCTAATTCCAGCCTTTTCGCCTTTTTACTTTGTAAATAAGATTTCTATTAGTCTTAACTACAAATATTGTCACCTAAAAAATTCTTCGTAACTGGATTAAAGTATATTTCAAATATTACCTCACAGTTTTAAACCTAACAGTGTTAAATTAAAAATCAAAACACGTACGCGACGAAATACGCTCATTTTCCTAATTTCTTGACAAGTAATGAACCCGATAAAATTATGATTTTTTATTTATACCTACATATGAGATAATTACATTATCTCATATATAGGCTTTTTGATTTGGATGAATATAACTATAGACATAGTAATGCAGTTATTTTTGTTAAAATTTACAAGTTATTTATTTTCTTTTAGTGAAAATTAATGGGGCTGTAATTAGATATACGAAATGTATGGAGTGCATAATCTCAGCCGTCCGGCTGTTATTTGGTTTGATGTACCTAATAAGAAGTTTTATTACTTATTTTATAGTTAAGGGAGTCATGATCAATTCCTCTGTTTTAAAATTGGTTTTAGATTTTAAAGTTTAGCAAAAGATGTACTAGCATTTCTATCTGACATCCGGTGTATATTAAGGACAGCTTGTGTATTCAATTATTTTGTGAGAAAGAAGAAAAAACAAGCAATAAATATAGTATATACTATCTGTTCCCCGCGACTTCACCCGCGTGTAATTTAGGGTTTTATTTATGTTGCGCGAAACCCTAATTCTTTTTCTAAAATATTATTAGCCTAAGTTACTCCTTATAACATCAGCTATCGTTCATTGAAAGTCCCGTCGAAATCGGTCCAGCCGTTTCGGTGATTAGCCGAAACAAACAGACAGAAAGACAAAAATTTTAAAAATTGTGTTTTTGTTATAGTTACCGTATATACTTTCAAAAAGCTGTTATTTTGATATTACAAACAGACACTTCAATTTTCTTTATTCGTATAGATAAGCAAAACTATAACGTAGTAATACTAATTACAACTTAGAACATAAATGAAAAACTCATGACAAGTAAAGTGGTTTAGGAACAAGCTTTGCGGCAGTCTATGGAGGAGGATGTTCCGTAGTGAACTTGTGTGTAGGTTATAATGACGATGATGATTTAAAAACTTGGATGATTAAATTATTACAGATCGATATACTACATAATATTTTATCATATATTGCTTTAATTTATTGAACTGCTTTAAACTAAAACACAGTAAGT